AAATAAACTTTCATTTCCAAGTTCCAACAAATCAAAATTAAGGCAACTAAATTAATAAAACTGAAAAAAAAAAAAAAATCATCAACTAATGATTTAATTTTGATGGTTTTTTTAAAATAGAATTGATCCTATAAATTTAACACTATAAGTGCTAGAGAGTAGTATATGTTTTAATTATATGTTGTGTGTTGTGTTGAATTATTTGTCGATGTTGAGAAACTTTAGGATTTAAGGATTTTCTATGAGTTGTAGTAGTTAGAGAGATTTCTCTGGACAGAGTGTCAGTTTAACTTCGTGAGGTAGAGTATATAAAGTTCCTATTTAGAATAAATCCTTGTAAGTTCAAGTCTTAGAATTCTAAAGTGGAGAAATTTTAAAGAGAAGAACTCTGGTTCATTAGTTTCCTTTAACTTAAAATCTTTCCCGCTTGTTTTCTTGATTCTGAGTAAAGTGTTGTTTGTTGATTCAAGTTAGTAGGAACCTCGAATCAAGCTATATGTCCGCTCGGAGTTGTTTTATTTATTTTTTCCTTCTCCTCTTCTTCTTGACCTAGAGATTTTCGAGGTAAGGAAAGGTAGGTTTATTCATTATGATTGAATAACTAAGTTGTATAGTGATGCATGAGTTGTACGTTGTATGAACCTCGTTGAAAATCATGGCTGAGTTGATCGTATCGGAGTGGGTTGAAATGAGAGTTGGGTTTTTTGGGTTCATGAGGAAGAATGTGATGATTGGCTATGAATCTCTGTTGCATGTTGGTTTTTTAGCTAAATTTGAGTTGTTTGTGTTGAGTAAAATCATTATTTTGTGTAGCATGTGTAGTTGTGATTGAGTTTCAGGTGGAGTAGGTGATTTTTGTGATTAGCATATGTACATATTGCTCGTTGTGTCGAACTTCGTGTTAACATGAAGCTCTTTGTCTCGATCACATCAAACGTGAGGAGATAGACTCGTCTTGGGTTGAAATGATGTCAAGGCATGGTTTGAATGACGTCGGTTGTCAGGTGTGAGAGCATTGAGATATCTCTAACTTGGTGATGTGCGGATCCAGGTTTGAGTGGTGCCTAGCATGGCCAAGCCAAGACTCTCTGTATAGATGATGTTAGACACAAGTTTGGTGATGTCGGGCATAAGTCAAGTAAGGACTTCTTGCCCGAGATGGGATCGAGCGTGGTACTTTGCCACGCTAGACATGAGGTCTTAGGAGCATCTGCCTTATCCATGTTGAGTGCGAGTTGTGTAGTGTCGGGCATGAGTGACGTAGAGAGTTTCCTATTAAGATGGCATTAGGTGTTGGATGTGTCATGTCGGGCGCTAATTGTTGAAGGAAAACATGTTATTTAATTTGATGAATTTTTGAATACTTGTTGGTTGAGTTGTTTGATGGCTAGACAAGAATGAATAAGTTGTAGGGATGATGTTGTATGTGATGATTGTGTTGTGAGTTGTTAGTTGAAAGTTAATATGAATTGTAGGTTGTGTGGTTGTGTTGAAATTGTTATATGCATGACGTGTTGTGTTGTTGAGATTGTTGGGATTCATCCCAAGTCCCACATCTGTAAAATGAAGGAACATTGGCTAGTTTTTAAGGGTGTCCACCATTCCATATAGTATGAGGCCTTTTGGGAAGGAGCCCAAAAACAAAACCGTGCGGGCCTAGCCCAAAGCGGACAATATCATACTATGGTGGAGCAACAGGTGGACTATCCGACCCAACAAGTGGTATCAGAGCCAATGGTTCGTCTGGGTTTGATGCGGGAAGACCCTCAGTGTTGTGCCTCGCGATGGAGATCCGAACTTGGTGCCTTGTGTCGAAAGTCTTCGACGGTACAAGATGGTGACGGATTATCGCTTGAGGGGAGGAGGTCACGAGACATGTGGTCCTTGGTCTGAGGGGAGGTTTGTTGGGATTCATCCCAAGTCCCACATCTGTAAAATGAAGGAACATTGGCTAGTTTATAAGGGTGTCCACCATTTCATATAGTATGAGGCCTTTTGGGAAGGAGCCCAAAAACAAAACCGTGCGGGCCTAGCCCAAAGCGGACAATATCATACTATGGTGGAGCAACAGGTGGACTATCGGGCCCAACAGAGATTATGAATGTTGTGAATACTGTAAACATTTAGGCATGGTATTGTTGAGTTGTGATGACCAGCCTAAAACTAGAGAAGAAATTTTTAAGGTTGCATATTTCATTTTATGAATATTGTGTTGTGGCGTTCTAGGAATCCAATTTGTTGAAAAACCTTTCAGAAAGCTAGCCCTTAAAGTAAATAGTTGTGTTGAATCTTCTATAAGACTTGGTACCGTGTGTGAGCAAGGTCGAGATATACATGTATAAAATGACCATATCATAAACATCAAGTTGAACTATACTGATTACAAGTGACTAATTGAGTAAGTTAAGAAGTCGAAAACTTAATTTCTAATTGAGTATTGAAAAGACGTAATATTTAGAAGGTAGTCGGTGAATTAATCCTATAAGATGCTTAGTTAAACTAGCTAATGTCATGGTAAGTCCATATCCAGCTTTTTTATGCTGGTACTAGACTTCATTGTTTAAGTAGTGACATCCAAAAAATTAAGTTGTTGTGTTGTGAATTGATATCCAATTTTCTATTGATCTAGCAAGCCAAAAATATCACCTTGTGTTATTGGTTAGATAAGGTCAAACCACTTAAATTGTTCACCTTATGTTGTAGGAGATCCCCTAGTTGAAATGTGTGACGACACATATAACTGTTTTATTGTGCATGTGATGTGTTAATTTAATTATGTTGTTCATATGCAGTATTGATCTGTGGGGAAGAATGTTGATGTGTTGAAAACTAAGTTGTTAATGTTATGTTGTTTAAGTTTACCTTGTGTTGTAATAAGTGTAATTATGAAGTTGATAGAGTTAAATGTGTTGAAATGTTGATGCTGAAAAATATCAGTTGTGTTGTAAAATCTTTTTGCTTATGATTCTTGTTATAGATGTTGATACTTTAAACTCTAATTTACCTTTATATATTTTTATGTAGCTCAGATTGCAATGATTATATTTGGTATGAAAGTAAAACAAAAATAGGTTGAAGTGTTGTGTAGTTAAGACCATTTAGCGCGGATGGTGAATTGTTATAATAAAATAAAGTAGTACTTATGGTTATCATGTGTTAAATCACTAATAATAATTTTTGATTTTGATGATTATCATTAAATGCACACTTTAATATAAAAAATAAAATTATATAAGGTTTTTTCCGTTAATCATTCCACCGGGTAATAAAATTTAAAACATAACTATTAGAAAATATAATCGTCAACTTCTTCTTATTTGCTTCACAATTATCCGAATTCTAAATTTATCTTCACAATCATTCAATTTGTCAACGTTGAATTGTATATTCTCAAATAGTTTATGTATAAAACAGAAGAAAAAAATTGTAAAAGTTGTATCTAAATTGCATCTATTTTATCTAAATTGTTATTTTACCTTTTACTAGTGTTTTAAGTTAAATTACTTTATCGGCCAAATCAAAATTTTAAATGAAATATTCTAATATTGGATTTCAACAATCTTAGTCGTTTCAAGTGGTTTACATGCGAAGATTGTTGTGTATATAAATCTTGAAAATTAGATATAGATCACAGTAGTGGTGATTGAACCGTATGAAAAATCCTTTTAAAAGTAATTTATAAGAAAAATATTTTAATATATTTTTAAGGATTTTTTGCTTTTGAGAAATTATTGAATTATCATAAATATTTTAAATTAAAAACACAACACATAAATACCTTTTAAAAGTAATTTTGTCTGGCACCCCTCCACGGCTACACTTGTGAAGAAGAAATGGAAATATTGAATCTAAAGGGAAAAAAATTGTAAACTCGTGTAAAATTGTGAACAAGTTGTGTTTCATTTCATAAAATCACATATTTGAGTCAAATCAGAAAGTACATAAAAGTAATGAATAATTAAGATTCTAAGTCTAATAAGAAATTACAAGAAATAATTTGTAATCTAAGTCAATTAGGTATATTTATTAAACGAGACAAGACTCTGTTGACGCTTATTTTTATTTTTCATTCATAAAGCCAGAAATTAAGATCTTGTTAATTAATTTTCATTTGAACTAATAGATATTAATTTATAAACAACGATCGATAATTGATGACACTTTGATTATAAGGGACGAGAAAAATGAGACTTGAGAGTGATAATGAAAAAATATCGAATTTAAATATTCACGATTCATATGTCGCAACTTAATTAAATAATTATTCTAAAAATGTAATTAAAAAATTAATTAAAGTCATTTAAGAAGATTGTATCTCATTCATTTTCAATAATTCAAATCTATCCCGAAGACAAATGTACTTTTATTCAATAATTAATTAAATCGATTATATAAAACTGTATTTCATTTACTTTCAATAATTCAAACACATTAAAAAAAACAATATACTTTTATTTAAAATAAAATTATTACAATTTAATTAACATATTGTAATTTTCTTAATAAATTATCACATTCTTTATGCACATGATTAAAATTCCAATCCCTAAATCTATATCTATAAGTATATAATAATATTTGTCAAAAGAAATTAGACTCTTGTAAAAGAACAAGAGTATATTATTATTAGTTTAATTTAAAAGATGTCACAATTTAAATATAATTTTTTTTAGTTTATTTCTGAAGTATCAAATGTCGATAGCAGTAATTAATCTTCTCGCTATGTTGGAAGTATCTTAAAGATGAGATAACTAGTCTCAAAATTTAACACGATTACACACACAAGATAGAATTCGAACGTCTGACTTTATTTAAGTGTAAACACATAACATTAGACAAAACACATATTTAATTAAAATTTAATTAAAAAAAACTCTAAATATTTTTTATATTGAAAAAAAAATTTTTAATCCAAAATATGCAATTATTGAAATGCGTTTTTGGGTTAAGCGAAATAGCGTTTTCTTACACTATCAGTGACGCGCGTGTATATATAGCGTTGAATATTGGAGAGAAAAGACGAAACCCATTTCATTTCGTTTCATTTCACTTGCTCGATAGAAAAGGGAGCGAGCAGAAGAGTGCAGAGCAAGCGAGCGCAAAAGTGTGATGCAGTTGGACATTCACTCCAAAACGCATGGCTTCTTCTTCTTCTTCTTCTCCTTCTCCCACTCACTCTTACCTCACACACCTTCCTCTTCATTCATCCTCTCAACAAGGTCAATTCTCGCAACGCCTTTTCTCTCTTATATTTTCCACCGATTTAGGGCTTCTGTTCTTCAATCCACACTTTCGCTCTCCAACGCTTCGAGAATCTGATAACTCGAGATACTTCGATTTTCGTTTCCAACTGTTTTGCACTTGATCTTCATTTTTCGTTATGCTAACTCTACTGTTCGAGTTTTTGTGTTCTTGTTTGTGTTTTTGTAATCGGTTTCGGTGGAGAGGAATTGACGAGTTCGATCTGCGATTAGGTGAGAAGCGCGTGGACGACGATGAATCGCGGGTTCCGGTTCACGTCGTGACCGCGGCGTCGCAACTTCCCGTGGAGTTTCTGGAACCCTCGCCGCAGAAGGAGCTAGTCATTGGCTTTGACTGCGAGGGCGTTGACTTGTGTCGCAACGGCACTCTCTGTGTAATGCAGGTCAATTCTCTCTCTCTCGCTCGCTCGCTCGCTCGTGCTTTTAGATTTCCGATTTTGTAGCCGCAACGAGAATTTGTATAATTATTATGTATTTTGTATGATATGCTGAAGTTGGAAAGTTATTTGTTAGTGCAAGAGGTTCTATGATATAACTAATATTCATGTAAATAGGAAATAATGTATATGTATATAGAAGTAGTAACCTATACTGCTCTGTTGTGCGGTTATTTAGTTATGAGTCTGCTTCTATACAAGCTTAGAACCACTTTTGAGAGTTTATTTCTTTATTTTTAGTAGAGAAGCTCTGAAAAACGCTTTTAGCTTGTATTTAAACAAACTCTAGTTGTGTATTGTGATTTTCTGCTGGTAATTGTGTTGTTTTATTTTTTCTTAAATTTTTTATGAGATAAGTGTGTGGTAGTTTACTTGTAGGACAAATCTTAAATGAAGTTCCTTAGGTGCTGTTTTTCAATTAAAATTAGAGTTTCACCTTGGTAATTTGCCCAAAAAAGGTTTGTATTAAATGTCAATGTCAATATAGATTACTGAGGTGAAGCTGCAATTCATGTTGGAGAACAACACCATAAAGACCTAGGGAATTGTGTTTATGGTTTGTAATTACTGGTATTGCATTCTTGGTTTAGAATTTTAATTGAGTTTTGTGTTTTTGCAGCTTGCATTTGCTGATGCTATATACTTGGTTGATGCGATTGATGGGGGGAAGGAGCTCATCCAAGCGTGTAAGCCTGCACTTGAGTCTAATTACATCACGAAAGTGATTCATGATTGCAAACGGGATAGTGAGGTCTCTGATTTATTTGGTGGCTTCCTTCCTTCCTTGCCCTGGCCTCTCTTTTGTATATGTTGAAATTTAGGAAACCTTTAATCAAAGGGAAAATAAAATGTTTGAGAGGCTTGACTTTTGGCCTTAGCATTTACCAATTTTGTTTGACAATTTAATTTGGTTGTAAACTTCTTATTGTTTACTAGGCATTGTACTTTCAGTTTGGCATCAAGTTGAACAACGTGGTGGATACACAGGTGAGCTTTCTATTACTAGGCAGCTCTCCCTGTTTTTCTTTACCATTCTTATAGCCCCTGTTAAGTTGACAGAACTATTACTTCCACTTCTGCAATAGCACATATTTATAATTATGTGGATCCAATACTATTTTCCTTGAGCATTGCTTCTTTGACATTAGAATGAGACATTGTATATCAGCTGATGGCTTTTGTTAAAAATAAAAACAATGAGTAAGATTCTTGTTTTATGATTTTGCTGTGAAGATATGTTTTTTCTAATCATTCACTTGATTGTGCTCATAAATCTAAATTCAAGTACGTTGCCCCTATTTATATTTGATGCTTTTTTACAGTGATATGTTTACTATACTGCCAAAGTATATGAGATTTATGTGTTTTTTCCCTTGGGTTAATTGTCTATCTTCTATACAGGGTGTGCCTATCAACTTAACATTAGTTTACTAAATGGATTACTTTTGTTGCAAATTACTCATTTGTTTAGTACATGGTTAAATCACACCCCTTTTTTTTGTAGCATGCATTTACTACATGACTAATATTGTTGCCATTTATGCTTAGAATATTAGTATTTAGTGCAACTGTATTTGTTTGACTTCTGTAAATAAGCTAGTAATTTACTCCTTCATTGATAGTACTTATCTCCTTAGTCGATTATATCCATACTAAAAATAAAAGATCAGTATGCAAGCATATGCATACAGTTTCTCACAAATACTTTTTCAACTTGGTATCAGCATTCAGATTTTAGAGCTATAGCATCTTTGAAACTAATTCTGCAACTATTATGCTACTATTTTCCCAGAAAAATTTGGAACTGTTCCCCCATTTTTAAACATTAGGGACTGATATACACAATTATAAACTTCTAGGACTGATTTTCATATGACTTAAAGCATTAACAGGTGATTTGTATTTTTTCTCTTTAAAAAGAGTCATTCTTCAAGTTGTACTTCTTTGCTTGTCCTTCTAGTATAAGTGAAAGTGATCCATTTGAAATTAAGAAAAGGTTGGAAGGAGGTGGAAATTGTAATACAAATAAGTTCCCTTGGCAATTTTGGTGTGTCTAGTTTTCTTTGTTAGTATTACTTGTGATTCCATTCTATTCTTACACTTGCATATTATATGGTTATACGTCTTCATATGTGTGTTCTTTTGATTGGTTAATCATATTCCTTGTTTGGTTCAGATTGCTTATTCACTTATAGAGGAGCAAGAAGGACGAAAGAGATTGCCAGATGACTACATTTCATTTGTTGGCCTCCTTGCAGATCCACGATATTGTGGTACTATGTGTCGTGGTATCCAATGAAATGTTTTTGATGGTCGTGGTTTTTATAATGACCACATTATTCTAGGCATAATGATTAATAATAAATTCCTAATAAGTTCCTTTGAGTCATTTGGTTCATCCCTCCACATTCACTTTGAGGGTTTGCATGTAGGCATATCATATGTTGAGAAGGAAGAAGTTCGTGTCCTCCTCCGACAGGTTGGTTTTTGAATAATCTTGGTTGAAAAGAATAACTTTACTTTCCTACTCAATAGTTAAAATTGCTGGTCCTGCATGCATGTTTGATTTCATTGAGCGATATTATTGTCAAGGTTTGATTGATACCAAACAGTACCAAACATGTAGTTGGAAGAAGTTTCTTAATGAAAGAAACACAACACCATTAATCTTTATGTCATACCATTTTCATTTTTACATATCATAATTTATGAATTTCTTTATCCTGCTGTGGATATTGATTTGTATGTTCGGGTCGAGGTCAACGAGAAGAGTTTCAATGGCTAACAAAGAAGAAATATGAAATATTTATATAATCTACATAATCCAAATAAGCTCTATCATCTAATGATGTTATTTCTAAATGTTCTGTCAGGACCCCAAGTTTTGGACATACAGACCATTATCTGAACAAATGGTCCGTGCTGCTGCTGATGATGTTCGCTTTCTTCTCTACATTTATCACCAAATGATGGAGAAATTGAATGAGCGGTCTTTATGGTATCTTACAGTTCGTGGTGCCTTGTATTGCCGTTGTTTCTGTGTGAACAGTAACAATTATGCTGACTGGCCATCTCTAACCCCGATTCCAGGTCTATAAAATCTGAATGAGGATCTCTTATATAACACATATTTCCTTATTTATATATTATGAGAAACTAGATGGATACCATATATTGCCAGTTGCCTTTAAATTTTCCTATGCTTTTTGCCAGCAGAGTTTAATTTAAAATTGAAATATTATGATCTATGATATCATTCATAATGTTTAACATGAAGGTGATGACATAATTTGGCAGTTAGTATTACCCTAAAAAGTCGAACATATGGAATTTCTAGGTAAACCCAGAAATTTGACATGAACTAACTGCAACATCCTGGTGATTTTGAATGAAATTGATTTTTGCAAAATTAGTTCTGTTTAAAATTGATTTTGAAGTGATGTAATTTATGTTCAAATGCTTTTATTATAAAAACAAGTAGTAATAAGCGGTAAAAATTTCTTTTATCCAATACAAAAGTTACATAATTTGCTTCAATTCAGAATCAATTTTGGAACCAAATCAATTCCTCTATACAGAACCAAAGATGTGAAAATTAACTGGTATTTAAACCTAAAATCACGTTAAATGGTATTTTAATGTGATTATGGTGAATCTTACATGAAACCCAAACATACACTTAAATGGTGCTAATCATCTTGCAGGTTCATGCAAAATGAATTATTCAGCGAAACTGTGGTCCACATTGTTTATTAGATTACATTACAATTGACAAGAAGTATTGCTCTTTTAGGTTTTTATGTATATCTACTATAATGATGCATTTGTGCCAGGTATTCTTGGTTGAATCATTCATGCTATCGCTTGTTTTAAAGAATGCGCTTTCTTGTAGATTCGCTGAAAGCTGATGAAAATGGTCCCGAGGAAGAAGTTCTTTCAGTTCTTCATATTCCCCCTGGAAAGATGGGACGTGTAATTGGGAAAAAAGGGGTGACAATTAAGGGAATCAAGGAGGCTTGCGAGTAATAATTTGTCTATCCTTTCCATTCCCTTGGTTTAGTAAATACATTATTTTTTGATATATTAGTGGATAATTTGAACCGCTGTTACATTCTGTCTTCAAATTTGTTTGTTTGTTTGTTTGTTCAGAGCGGAAATTCTCATGGGAGGTGACAAAGGCCCACCTGACAAGGTTGGTATATCAACATTCACCCGTACCAGTACTCTGAATTACTTGCAGAAAGTGGTCTATATGATGCTCAATTTGTATGCACCTATTGTCAATGTTGTTTCTTTGACTTGCAAGTTGCAACCGATCTTGTTATCATGGATTTGATTGAGATTTGAGAATATCCCTATGATCTCTCGAAACGTTTTATACTTGGCTACCCGGAGGAAGCTTATCTACAATAAAGCCTTCTTTTATCTTTTCTTTAAATCTGTTATTTTTTGTTTATTTTTAATTTCAAACATGGTTTGCATATGAAAACAGTATTATTTATTTTTGAAGTTGTCGGTGTTTTTATGCAGGTCTTCATCATGGGACCAGTGAAGCAGGTGAGGAAAGCCGAGGCCATGTTAAGGGGTCGAATCTTGGATGTGTAGCAATGAAAAGTCTCTCATCAACTTTTGCAATAAATCATTTTTCTGACCCAATAGTTACTGCCATTCTGCCTCTGATAGTTGGACTGAGTTAGTGGATTGAGAATACTTTTTCCATGCTTGTATCTACTGTGGACAAGAAAACAAAGAAAAAAAGTAATCAAGTTTTTTTTTCCAACAATACTGAATAGACTTACCCTAATGGATTGTCGTAAAATAATCAGTTTGGAGTTCCGATTTTGAAATTAATAAATCAGATTATGAAAATGAAAATGATTTCTCCGGATAATTTTGAAAAAGAAAATGAAGATATTGTAATTGGTGAATTCTCATAGGGTTAAAGAATTTTCGCAATAATGGTTCTCGAAGATAAGATTCTAATCAATAAATATATTTTATTCGATTTGCCAATTTCATTGTTTTCAATTGGAGTTGGTTAAAAAAAAACTGAAGATGATTTTTATCATTATTATAAATTTTTTAAGATAATTATATTTTTGTAATATATATAACTCGAACTAGTCATTGTTTTCAATAAAGATTGTACTAGAGCATGTCTTTCTCTATTTTATTATAAAAATAAAGTTGGTTTTACGTTTATTAAAAGTATTAGTTATCAGTTATTTATATTAAATTTAACTAATTTTATAATATTTTTTAAAAAAATGTTCTTATTATAAATATCAAAAGTATTGTAAGGTTCAAATTGGAAGGTCATGAGAAATATTTTAGAAAGATCATTTAATGATGTAAAAATGGTTGAAGTTTATTGATATTTAAGAATAATTTTTTTAAAATTAGGGAATAGAAGGAATATCTTTTATTATGAGAGATATTGAGATGATTAAATAATAAATTTTAAATTATGGATAAAATGATTAATTATAGATAAAAATAGTTAATAATTGAGAATAATAATTAATTATAAATATTTTTTTTATATAAAATTATCACTATTGTTATCTTTACAATTTTTATAACCACTTCTACTTTTACTACCATCGTTGGTGGCAATTACAACAACAATAGTAGTGGCAAGCTATAATTGTGGTGGTGAGAACATCATCACTACCATAAGATCATAATTATCATCACCTACCATTATTATTGTGATGAGGGTAGCGGTGACGGTGGTAGTGATAGTGACGATGACAATGGATCATGATGATGATAATAGTCGTAGAGGTAATAATAATAATAAGTAGAAGAAATGTTATAATTAAGTTATAATCAATTATTAATTTGTTTATCTATAATCTAAATGATATTATTTAGCTTTCGTCAATCAAAATAAGACATGTTTTTATTAGATATGGTTAAATTGGATTTTTAGTTCTTATAATATTTATTCCATAATTTTGATTCTACAAATTTGGGCTTATAATCTTACAAATTCTACGAACTTGGTTGATTCATTGCATATTTACCATTGATCATTAAAATTGTAATGATAATGATATGATACTATTTTTGGATGACACAACAATTAAGATTTAAGTAGAATTTTAATTTTAATTTTTATTTCATAAAAATGGTAAAATGAGATAAAAGTAAGATAAAATGGGAATTAAAGAATCACCAAGATTAGCCTAGTAGTTGAGAGGAGGGAAAAGGAATTGGATAGAAGCAAGAGGTCGTAAGTTTAATCTTCATCACATCTTTGTAATCTTTCTTATGGATAAAAAAAGGAACTTAAAAAGTAATTTAACTTAATATTATTAAATATTATTTGTTATATCATTTACTTAATGTTAGGTCATGACTAATATTAGAATTTTAACAATTAACAGACGAACATTAAGTAAGGAAACCAAAATTGTTAATTTTATAAAATTAGGATACAAAAATTGCATAATTATAAATTGGGATACCAAAATTATAGATCAAATATTATAGAGAAACTAAAAGTATAATTTAAAATTTAAATTAAGGGTGAATATGAGTCAAACATGATCAATGAATTCAAACTAAACCGAAGAAAAAAAATCAAATTGGTTTCGATTAGAAAATTGCAATTTCAAAAAGTTTGATTTGGATATCGAATTTTAATTATCAAGAACCAATGATTAGATAAATATCCAATTACTAGTATATTATCTTGTGTACTGCACAATCATATTTATTATATAATTAAATTTTATAATAAATTATATAAATAAATATTATGTTTGAATATATAAATTATATTTAAAGTTAGTATACATAAATTTTTTTAAATATATAAATTATATTTTAAATTTATGATAAATAATTTGTATTATAAAATAAAGTAATTTTTATTTATTTATAATTTATTATAAATATTAATATTTAATTCATAAATAGTCAATATAAAAAAAAAATCGAATTAGATAAGAAGTTAAAAGTAGGAAATAAAAATTTGTGTTTAATATATAGAAATCGATTATTTTTTTACTAGTATTTTAATATGTGTATTTTAGAAGCTAAATATTTAAAATATATATATATATATATATAT